TGATTTGTCATAATTAAAGTGTATTTATTGCATATGTGAAGTTTTTGTGTGGTTTGATGACTTTAAAAGTTTTTTTAGTATTTTCCAGGAGCTCATTTATTGACGGAAAGTATTAAAGATGTACTACCCACCAGCAGTCGTGAGTTTTTTAAAGTGGTGCATTTAAACAGTGTTACAACAGAATAAAGATTTCTGAAACAAGTAGATGGCTAACAAATATTTCGGGCCTCATTTGACTAACATAGTGTTGATGTTTAAAATTGAAGACAGTATTGAATTCATCAACAAAAGTAGGAACGAGAATAAAGCCTCGAATGTTACTGATTTACTATAGAACAAAGAGTAGGAAAATTCATTAGGCCGGGACCAAATGTGGGTTTTTCCAAGCTAACTTCATGGTTATTGTTAAAGCTTTACGGTACACTAGCAGTTACAACAGATAAGCCAACCTGATGCTCTTATTTTCAAAGTTGTAACTGAAAAGGTTCGTACCCCCGCATTAGCTTGGTAAAACCCAAAATATTGTTAATTCTGTAGTAAGTCTACCGCTTTTTATTTACATTGTTTTTACACTTGTTGAATTTATTTACTAGCCTAGTTTCTCTATGAAAATATGTGTATCTTTTGTTCTAGTTATTTTATGTAAATCTTTGCGAAAATTATAAAATTAGTGCTTTTTAAAATAATTACGTCTATATATACACACAAAACAGTTATAATTATGACGTCTATTAACTTAGACGTCTGTCTGGTACGTTTACGTCATTTCTTTTATTTATCAACTGTTTGAACTTATTAAAGCGAAACATGCTTTGATCAATTGTGTTAGTTTTTTTTTTTTTGTCTTTTTATCCTATCATTGTTTTTTTGTACAGCAAAATTATCATAATGAGTTGTTATATTGTTAGTTTTGTAGATATGTGTATATATAACCAATTCAAGTCTGTATGCAACCGCTGGAATATAAACGGTGGAATAGTCGTACGAGCATCAATGAGCGTCTCCTACTGTTAATGGGGCCAATCAGTTTTCTAAGAAACTTTTCACTATGAACCAGCTGCGACAACTGATGTCCGTTCATTGATTGGTAAATGATTTAAAGCTCCCACTACTGTGGGATATTCTATTTTTAAATCATACCACAACATGAACGTGCATAGAACCTAATAGGGAAATAGGAAAACAAATTATTGAAAAAAAAAGAAGAAAAGGGAAGAACAAAAAATTATATAGCCCTATCCAGCAGTCGGTTATTTGTTTTGACAGGCAGCTGGGTATTTGTAAAATTTAGGCGGAAATAATATCTAGAAAACGGTTATGCACTAGCCGTTTGGTACCGCCATCCTTAAAACGATGTTTTAAGACCCACTGATACAAGCAAAACAAAAGAAAAATACAGTCATCTTACAAATCAAAGATAGAAAAAGAAGATAACCGGAGAAGCATGTGCATTTGTCTATTCGTCGGTCCATCTGTCCGCCCCTTTAACTTTCCAAAATATAGGTAGGATAAATAAGAAAAAAAATTATATAGATTTACCTATATACCTAAATCTGTGTTTTTTCCAACACTGAATGTAAAACAGTAAATAAAAAATAAACAGTAGGATATTGTATTTTATATTTCACTCCGTTCTTATCATATGTAACACGCCATGAGAGTTGTAGATACGCATTCCGTATAACATTCTGCATTTTTGTACTGTATCATGGGTCAAGTTTATTTTTGTATTTCTCAAAGTACTTGATAACACTGGATGTTGTTTACTCATGGGTGTTTTGTTAACTTGGCGAAAGAGTGTTAATAATTGAAAATATACTCTACTTATATTTACATACGTGCCAAAAACAACACTCACAAAAAACAGACTTCTGCGAAAGAATAAAACGCATACAATATTTAGTTTTGCAAGTTGTTTACAGTTAAATTAATTAGTTTGTAGATTAAAGTACAATGTTTTGCAAAATAAAAAATATAGCATTATCCGCACAAGTATATATAAGAATGTTAGTATAATTGGAAATAATGTATGAATAATGATTTCTCTATGAAAATGAACTTTTCTTATTTCCGACCCACAGTTATTGAACAGATAATTTTAATTAACAAATTTAACGTAACACTCTCTAGTTCATCCTATTTAAACATAAAAAAATAATTTATCTGTAAATAATGTTATAATTTGGAACACATTATACAAATTAATACTTTAATTTTCAAAACTTTATCTGTCGCTTACATAACAGAATACATCTGAAAAAACAAAGTTATCTTAGGAAATCATTTTGGTAGTAAAATTTAATCGTTCAAATCTGAGTAGCAAAATTTGTTTTCTAATGCCTGTAATGTAGCTACAAACAAAATTGATTTAGCAATTACACTTTCTATGTAACAGACTGCAAAACAAACGTAAGAACTAAAACCGTTCCATCAATAGTAATTTGGATAAAAGTACCGCTATCTTAGACATATGTCTTAGTAAAATTCAAGCAATTTGATAACTCGGATAGCACAATTACTATCAGATTCTGACAGATTCCTGGAAATAAATGTTCCTTAAATGATACGTAGCCGCTTTGGAAAGATTACTTTTGTTTAATATAGTTTTAATGTTCTCGGATAGGAGAATAAATCTAGAACGGTAATAGAAATAGATTTTATATAGTATGAAATGTCTTATGTGCGTGTTTGGAAACAATGATTTCGTTCCACCTGATATAAATGAAAGAAGCCATCGGTTAATTTTTCACAAGATATTTATTGAGGGTTAAAATATGATATTTGACCCTTGATTTAAAAACGGATTATCACCCGACAAATAATATTAGACTATAGAGAATTTAAAATAAAATCTACTATTTGGGGCACAACAGATCAAACAATAAAATGTCACGAAATATATTGTTTCAGAACATAAATTATAATATGATTAGGATTAAAAGGAAGGAAGAATTGTTATCAAAATTTATAAATACATGTATGAAGCATGGCTTATGAAAGGTATTGGTACATTACTCATTGACGAAAAACGTCACTAAGGCACATGATGTCACTCATGGAAAACTTCGCTATCATTTTAGCCAATATGTTTTCGTGCAATTGTTGAGAGAGGTGTTGAAGTGAGGTCAGTTATAGCTTTCAATCGTTGAAAAAAATATCAAGTATGTTTACATCAGTGTAGAAATTCTTGACTGCCACATTGTTCGTTCAAAGACCTAAAATATTTGACCCATGTGTTTTGGTAGACAAAAAAAAGTGTAAAAAGGACGAAGTAATTACGATATGTTTTAGTCATACAATAAGTCAACGCGAGAATGTATATATATAAATAAATGAATGAATAAGAGAGTTGGCTAAGGCACAACCAGGGTCAAGGAGCAAAATTGTAAATTTGTAAATCGTAAAGATGTAAAACAGAACGTTTGATTATTTATATACTTTGTTATTCAATATACTGTTGTTGGGATTAGAACAAAATTTGATTCTTCATTACTAGTAAACAGAAAATGCCAGAAAACAATATATTATTTAAACACCGGTTACCTTGTGCAGATACTCTGTTGAAAAATAGCAGAAGAAAAAATAGCTCCATAACAAAATTTAATATTAATTTCAGTAAACTACTTTTCTATCTGATAAGTTGATTGCTCCGTGCCAAAAACTTAACTGAGCTGCAAAGAGACTTTACTCCTCTTTAAACATCTATTACGTTGTTTTCTTTCTCAAGAATTTACGTCAATGGTCATTTGATGTTTATAATTTATTCCTGTGCTCAAAGTTCAAGGCAGAAAAACTTGAACTAGTTGCTTTATGAAATTGTTTATCATAACATGTTGACATAATACTGCCAACAAAGAACATACTACTCGTAACTCTTATAATTAAATAGAATAATACAAGTGTGTTGCCCTAGTATCTTCTTTTATAAACGTCATCACAGAACTTTTGTTATTAGGTAATTAATCTACAAGTTTATATCTAAAGAAAACAAAAATATGGTATATGACAGTTTCTGAAATTAAACTAAGAAAGAATCAGATTTAAACTAGCCGTGTGAGCATCTTGAACTAATCATCATCCAAAATCATCATCATCATCATCATGGTCATCATCATCACCATCATCATCATCACCATCATCATCATCATCACAATTATCATCACCATTATAAAATAACAATGTAATTATTATTTTTACAATAACTATAGCTATTATGGTCATCCTTTAACACTCATACATCATTAATTAATACACGATACATCACAGTTAATTATCGCCCTCGACTATATTCACAAAGGGCACATAACTGTAAACATCAAGTTTGAATGTTGCAAGAGTTATCTCACTATAACTATGGGAAGTGATCAACAGTACAACATATAAATATATACATTTCATAAACAACATTAATATTGGTAGATACACTTTAAAATTAAACATTAACAGTATAATATAATAACTCATAAGATATGAAAAATGTGATGAAAATTAACCTATAAAATGATAAAATTATATTTAAATGAAACTCTTATCACAAAATCTAAATGTTTTACATTTGCATGTGCATGATAAGAAGCACAAATACATTACATCTATTATTTTTTCTGTCGTTTTATATTTATAATATATGTAAAAAGGTACTGGATCCGAGCTTTCTTTTTTCAAATTGTCAATTTGTAAAATTAGAGGAATAAAATCTCATGCAAACGTTATATAATTATGTTCCGGCGAATAACACAAACTTTTGAAACAAATGAGGTCATCCAAAAAGCTAAGTAATTAACCTAAAATTACCGGAATTTTAATATAAAATTGATGATATTCTATAAATTATTAATATAGGGGTGCTTTTAGAAATCTGAACGTCTCAATTTATAATGCAGGAAACGTTCTCTTATTGTTACCTCAGTGTAAAATGAAAGATTATGTTGAAAATTATTTCTCTACAAATAGTAGACATATCATGCGAACAAACAATATGTTATTTTAACACCACTTACCATGTACAAATACTCCAGTAAAACACAGAAGAATCACGAACAAATCCATTTCGGAACTTGGTCTATATTTCCACGTTTATAACACGGCTGTCGATCCTTATATTCCTCGTATATTCACATATCCAAGATATATAAAAACATATCCTGCGCGTTATGAAAAATATCAAATGTCTTTAAAAATCCATCTCGCTCCAGTCTGTTAAATTGTCTTCTGAAAATAGAATGAAATTAGAACGTGAGCGTTTTACATTTTGAGAAAATGCACGTGAGCTGGTGAGCACGGAAATTAATTTGTCTGTTCTCTTCGTTAACTTCGAATGACTTACGAAACCACTGGTAATTGTAAACCAATTATGTCGTAGACAAACCCAAAGAACTTCTACAAGAAACAAGTATAAGCCACTAATGCGAAAACAAATGTTTCTTTATCCTAGCTTTATCACAAATCTTACATAAAGTGTTTATTCACGTAAAATATTTGTACTTTAATTTCGCGGGAACTTGAAATAAAAACCGTCACGAGATTATCATTTTCCCGAAATGTTCACCAATCACCCGCTAGCATAAAGATTTTTAATTACCAAAATACACGATGATATTGTAGTTATTTTGTCGGCTTAGAAGTATTGTTAACCGCGTGATTTATCAATGTTTCTCTTCAAAATAAAGCTGCCTTCACAATAAATTACTATAAACAAGATTTAGAAATTTATTCTCCTGAAAATCAGCAAAACAGTAGAGGAATCCGGGGTATTACTGAATAAATGCACGAAAGGGCAAGCCCCCGTATTTAGTAAACACTCAAATGGAATTACGACGAATTCAGAAATCAGGGATTATATTGCTATGCCAGGAAATTAGAAAATATTCATTAATGCCAATTTTACGCACTAAATAATAGCAGAGATTTCGATAGTAAGGCCCTTTCATGAGCTTGAAAGTAGAATGCTGATTAAAAATATTGATCTAAAGACTGCAAATGCATAATATTAATCACTGAAACGATTACCGGTTGAATGCAAGTAATTGTGATACGAAATGTTAAGCATTTTGCTAGTTATCACCGTTTTATTTGCGCGACAATAGCGGAATATGTTCCCGTCGCTTGTAACTTCCGGTATGTGACATATTGATACAATTCAATTAAAATTCGATTAATTCCTTATTCAATATTTGGCATACAGTTATTTTGTAATACATTCATGAATGTTTAAATAATGTTCCTGATTAAGTGGGACGATCATTGATCATGTTGTCTTCAAGTGCTTTTATATCAATAGGTGTCCACATTTGTTTTATTTCTTTTGTTATTTTTACTACACACATTTAAAAAATATCAAAAAAAAAAAAAAATAATAATAATAATAAAAAAAAATAAAAAATGGCGGGTCAGATATATTGTTGTTTAAACTTAAATGTGACATTCAGCTTTGTAAAACATTAAGTAAATTAGCTACAAATTATAGTTTTATATAAATGCCGTCACCTACCGTATCATATATTTATTTTAAAAAAGCGGCATATTTTACTTTATAAAAGATGGAAAATGACGAAGTCTATGATATAATGTCTTTTTAATTTCAATGCAAATTTAAAACAGCGTATATTCAAGCTTCCAGTAAATAATCAGATATATGTTAATTTTTTTCTTTTACTTTTTTGCTTCAATCGTTCGGTTATGAAGATGTAATTAAGGTAAAATGATATTTTTCAACATAAATCATTTATTTCATTCTGATATAAATTAAATAAACATAAATTTTATTTTCCGACATTAGAACAGATTTAAAATAAAACTTACTTTACTTATACAAATCTGGATCAAAATATGCCGAACAAGTAAAAAATCCTGACTATATCATATCCGAGCACTGGCCAATCGGTAAACTTTTAAGAAGGCTGTCAAGCTTTATTCTTTACAAGTATCATTAAAACGCACTTTACTCGGCAATCTCGTATTAACTACCGGAAAATCCCCTCTTAAGCAAAAGCGATCCTGTTTCCGGTGGTGTCCTTTAAATATATCAAATATCTAAAAAATGTACACGGAAAAACCCCGTGAGTACCTAAATTACCACAATGATAGTAAAAATCAAAACCTAATACCGCTATAATGTTAGTTCAGGGAAAAAGTAAGTTTTTTTTCTGGATTTACTTTTAATTTTATGCGTAAAGATAGTTCGATGTTTTGTTGCTGGAAAAACAGTGTTACGAGGAAAGAAATATAAGTTGTCAAAATGTTCACTCAAAATAAAACTTCTGAATTTTTCTGTTCTGTTAAGATTGATTACCGAGAGCGGATTTCTTGAAAGATGCATGATTTCTGTTGAAAATGAAATCCCCTGGTGGGTTTAATACGAGCTACAAGTGTCAGGAAATTCAAACTGTAAGATATTTACGGATCATTCTGTCTGTCAGGGACGTGTGACGTATCCGTCAAACAGCCGGTTCTTCCAGTGTTGATCTTTCATTTACTCTCTTCGGAGAATTGTGATTTTTTTTTTCGTCGAATGATGATAAAATTTAGATTAAATAGAACCTTCTAGTAAAATGATTTGGAACGCTTAAATGATGATAATACGGCGTATTGAATTGTTCAAAATTCCTAGTACAATTTCTGTCAAAATTAAGTAAAGACATAGCATAATTTCCGGAAAATGTTCAAATAACTTGTAGGTAGTTTGCGCTTGTTAGCAAAATAAGTATGATTCACGTAAACGGACAGTGTTATAAATAACATTTAAAACACAAAAACGATAACAAAAAATAGAGCCGTGTACAGTAAGTTTTTATCCAATACTTAAAACTTGATATTTGGTAAAAAGAGGGAAATGTGATTTTAGGTTTTAATAATAAATCCTTAATTTCTACAAATTTATTTTACGGAGAAAACATGGACGTGATGACTTATACTTAAATAGCAAAAACTTTCGTTAATGTGTTATTCTTTAATGAAATTGCAAACTCATTTAAGCAGAAATATTTAATTGAAATATATCATCTAAGTTCAATACTCAACTAAAGTGCTGTATATATATTTTTTAAATCACTGTAACTAAAATTATATTTAAAATATCGTTAAGATCGCTTTCACAATTAGATTTTGAAACTTTTGTAAAAGCGAATTAAATATCAGAAAAAAATCCTTACCTCGCTACGTCATTTTAACTTTAATAAAGCCGAGGAATGTATGTTCATACAAATCTAAAATATAAAAATAAAAAATATATATCAATTTATTAGAGATAGACGATAAATATATATTTATTAAAAACTTATTTATAAAAGCGTATGACTTTTTTCATACATATTTAAACGTCCGGAATTTATTCACACATAAAAAGTTCATTTCAATTAAAAGTTAGAAAATTTCCAGTTTTTGGAAGAATATATCAGTACATGTATATATTTCGAAATCCTCTTAAAGTAAGCGCGCTTATTCTTCCATTTTAGCCACTTGTTTCTTTATCACACATATAAAATTATTTCCGCTAATTTAAATAAACTTTAATTCCTTTAGATTATTCATCTTAATATGAATTTCTTTAAAAGCGAATCTGCTCCAAATTAAATTCCATTTCTTGTAAAAATCCATGTATCTCTAATAAACTCACAAATCCTTTTTTTCCCCAAATCAATCACAAAATCAGGCCCATTTTTCGCCCGTCCTTTTTCAACGGAGAGAAAATCTCCATATAAAAATAACTATACGCACGCATTTCCCATAAAACGTCAAAGTGACTAGATGACTCCACAAAATTACCAGCAATGCATAGAAATTATGTATAATTTTACCATTTATCCGCGAAATTTGTTATAATTCAATAAGACTCCAGCTATGGGCAATTTTGCCGTGCGCGTTACTAACCGGGAATCAGATGAGCGGAATTGAGGCGAAACGGCCGAGAGGAAAAATCGCGCCAATAAGAAAAACGTACGTCTGCGATTACCCTTGTATCGACCCGGCGGGCTTATAGTAAATATTTGTAGAGAAAACACGTTTAGAGATATGACAACATTTATAATATTGTCTTCGCTGTCGGTACCTCTTTTTGTTCTATAATTCCGTGAATAACTACATTTTTCACCCGACTGTAGGGCATATTTACCTTACATACAATACATCAAGAAATATGGCCGGTCTTTCAGCAGAGAAAACAAGCCTCCTACGATACTGAACAAAGGGATTGTCGGTTAAATATTGACTGTGAATACTCATGTATATTGTTAGCTTATTATTCATTATATTAGATGTGACCAGATCAAATTGGTTCATTCGCCTGTATTAATTTAACCATCAACGGGATTTTATACAAATCCGTTAATCCATTTGCAGTTGTATCAACTTTCCAGAGGTCGGTTTCCGTTTAGTTAACACGTCTATAGAATTAATACCGCGTATGAATAAAAGCCAGCGTTCTGCCCTATTGTTGGTTCATTTCCGGGACGTAGAATTATATAATACTCACTTAGCGGTTATAGCAAACAACAGAATGCTGTAAAGAGGCTGTAAATAAGTTCAATACGAATCTATAATAACATACATTTGTAGAAAAAAAATATTGCAATTCCGATTCAAACGTATTAATTGTTATAGCTTATTTTCCGTAAATGAAACCACCTAAGACTTTATGGGGTTAAAATGTATATAAATTAAATTTTTACTTACATCTTTTCTCAATTCTTTTGCAACAAAACTGTTTGCTACAAGCGAGGTATGTGCATAAAGATAACATTACACTGATATGAAGTGCAATAAAACATTAATGAAGCGCGTGATCGGTAGACCTTATCTATGTCGTGTGTAAAAAGGAGTTGTCCGTTTATTATTGGCTTCGACATTGAATGCCCGCCCCTTTTGATATATGTCAATTGAATAGAATACAAAACAATTCAGCTGCTTGCATTGCCTACATGGTGCAACTATTTATGCATTGTATACACACCGGTCTCTCAAATCAACCTGTGACGTACGACGCGTTCCTAATCCCCATTTGCGGTAAAATGAATCTGATATAAAGTAGTCCGAGTAGGTATGGCGATTTTTTTATGAAACACAATTAATCTCAAAGTGATTACATATAGTTTACTTATTTAGCAGTGGCCTTAAAATTGAAAATAGAATTGTTACTCTTTATTCAAATATGTTAAACTATGGACATTTACTTTCGGTTTAAAACTAACAATTGACGAAATCAATGATGTATAGAAATATTAGATTTATTTCAACAAAATACAATAAACGAACAGTTAAATAAATTAAATTATATCATCATCTGTTGTAGATCCCACAAACGGCATTTAAATTTACTTGTTTTTCGCTTTACATTTGAATTGTTAAAATCATGTCAGTGTTCAAGCCGCCATGATAAAAACGTAGTGTTTCCCCATCATGCTTACAGTGGTTTAACACAGGTTAGTTAGACCGGTGGTGTTAATAGTTTTCACTCCGGATCTCGGCAGTAAGACACATTTAATTTACCAGAGCACAGTTCAGCTGTTGCACCGTTCCTGAAGCAGTTTACCAGTACTAGTTGTTGCCGTCACATACTCAAGGAAGTGAAACTTTTGTACATTCAAGAGCAGAGGTGCAGTGCGAATGACAGTAGAAAATATTTCATGATAAATCACAACGATTGTGATCTGCGCCATCCAGGAATTGAACTCGGGTCGCCCGATTCACAGTCCAACGCTCTACCTATTGAGCTAACCGGATGGCTCCAGTGAGACCGGTGTACACAACGACTAAATATATACTATTTTGCACCGGCTTAACAGTACACCGACGGCATATTTATAAGTATGTTTCTGGATCCGCCTTCGCAACATTTTTCAGAAAACATTGATGCAAAGCATCAGTAGTAGCCAAGTAAAATGTTGAACGAAGCTTGGGCCTTAGTGTAAGAAACAGTTTAAATAACGCCTCAAGTTCGAATTCTCATCTTAAAATTTTGGAATGCTATCTGTTATAGAGATTAACATAAAATTAAAACATACAATGAATAAAAGAAATATTAAATCGTAACAATGTTTTATGAGTTAATAAGTTAATAAATAAACTCGTGAATCAGTCTAACCAATTTTCTCAAATTCTTATCTTATTTTGTCACCTGTTAAAAAACACAAGTATGATTGCCAAAGGCATCATCGGAGGGCCAAGGAAACACACGCTTTGACACCGTTGTAGGTATAAATTAAAACGTTAATAAAATAGAGAACAAACTAGGGTACAGTTTAACTACGAATGATTAAATTCTAATGAAGTCAATAAATAATCTCGTGATCATTCTTAACCAACTCAGTCACATTTCATATTTATCAAAAAAAAAAAATGTAGCAACAAACATGACAAAAATCTGTAAACAGTGATCCTCCACTAAAGAAATGAGAACTAGGAGACGTCAGTTTGGATTGACTTTCTTCTACCAACAAGGCAATAAAGATAAGAGCATAAAAATCCTGAACAAACCCAAGCTTTAGCACCGATTAAAGACTGTTTCAATCTGTACATAATCACTTAATAGTGCTGACACATCAAGGCTGAGGTCTCAAGTTTATTTATATTTTTCAACTATTGCTAATGTAATACTGTATTACTTTATTGATACTTTCAAACAGAACCAAAGTACAAAAACAAACCTCTTCTACCAGTACTAAAGAAAAACCCCCGAGTATAGAATGTCACAACATTAGTCTTGCGCCTACAAGGGTTGATAACAAAAACATTACATATAATATTGTACAACGTAAAATCCACGTAAAAAATATAATAAACTACTTCACAAGAATATATACAAACCCCAAAAAGTAAGATTTTAAGAGGGGTTTTAAGGGAATGGGAATATATCATATGACTGATGAGAGTGTGTGGGGGAGGGGGGTATTGTCCTACCCAAATCTTTCATAATGTACGAGTTTACACCTGGAGGATCACGGAAGCAACTTAATGAGTTGTACTTGTCACACACCAAGATAAAAAGGTAAATGTCAAGGCCACAGCCCACAGGTATATGTATGAAGCAATAAATTAAACGCAGTTTCTCAGACACAATTCAAGCTACTAATTTGGTATTTTAGTCACGATGAATGGAATGTATTTTAAAGGGCAGATAGCAACGAACGTCATTTTGCTTAATATATCCATTTATATATGACGTAGACTTCTGCTGTTGCTTAGAAACAGGTGGTTTAAATTTAGTAAACTATATATTGAATAAATCAGAACATTTAATGAATAAGATAATATAGAAAAAGTATATGCCTTTAAAAGTGCGCCATGGGATTCTATGATAATAGTAACACGTAGACGGCGCACGCAGATTTTGCGTCACATGATAGGTTTCATATATCTCTATTTAAGACAAAAACACGTGAGAAAAGTGTCAAACGAAGCCACATCACAGTCTGATATGCTGATGTTATTATGTCAAAGTTTGACGCGATTTTAAAACACCAACATTCATCGTGCGGTTTTTATAGCTTGAAAATGTCAGACTGACAGGAAATCCGTGAAATTATTTAGTTCTACAATTATCTCATGAAAAATAAAAATAAACGCTAAGGGAAAATGACTTAGCAAAATGGAATAACTACTGAAAAAGAAACTGTTGTTGAAAAATAAAATATCGGTTTAAGACGGCAAGGGCAGCATAGAAGGGCATACTAGTCGTTGTAGAAAGACACATTATGACGTAATAGATGTGACGTAAAATTCTGCTGCACGGACAACAGCGAATCGGAAGCCGACAAACAATCTGCTAAACTATTATTGTCAAAGGTTATTCTGGTTTATGTTGTTTATACTTATATATTATCTGTTTCCGATAATTTCAGATTTTATTGATTATATGAATCAACACAGTGTGCTTGCTTTTTGTTGAACATTCAAAGTTGAACTACTTTTTAAATAAAATTTGAAGTTTCGTTTTATGGAACGCTTTAGATAAACAATACTTACACACTATTATTGAGCTTCTAAGCTGACGCACCCCTCCCTTATAATGTTGATAAATATTATATATTCTTCTTAATGTGGTAACACTACTAACACTTCTCGATTAATTGTCGTAATGAGACATGAACCAAAAGGTAATTGAAATATTTCGTTGTTGTGTAGTTGTAGTTGTTATTGTGACGTATTTGATTTTCATCCGTGGATTTTGTCACCTGATCATTCACGTCTTTTTATTGACATAGTAACCAAATTGTCTATTGATTACTTAATTCAATTTATCAATCATTTGCAACTGATACCTTCATATAAATTACAGTGCACTTAAACATTCAAATTTCATCCGTCAAATGCGAAATGATTAATGTATTATCAAATAGAAATGTACACAGGCATACCAATGTGATTTTATAGCACGTGGCAGATGTCCACTTTTTCCCTAGACTGTTCACATGCTTTATTGCTAAGGTATTTCATTACATCATTGTCAGTATCACAATTTAAATAGTTGACAATGATTTTTGTTTTTATTCGTAACACTTTAACATTCATGTACACTCCAAACAATATCTGGACATTTCATTATCTCTGGTAACCTTTAATTTGTAGAATGACCTAAATTATGTTGGTAACACTCAGTTTCATAGGTATGAACATTTGTTATATAAATTCTTAATTGTCCAAACACACATTTCCATGCCTATATCTAACCTTGACCTCAATGTGTGACCTTTACCTTTGGAACAAATACCGGTAACAGATTTCCACGCGACGCTCAAAGGCATTGTTTGTGGCATTT